GAATTAGATGTAAGACCTCACTCATTGGGTAATAAAGTAGTGGATATATGGTATGTAGCTGGCTCAAGTGAAGGGCATATCAAGTTTGTTCACATAAATCCCCTTGACTCAATATGTCATGTGGGTCAAATGTTTGAAAAGCTTCTAGCAACCTCTTGTAATTCACAATGCCTGGAGTCAAGATGTTTGCCTTGTATATACAATAACTTAGACTCGTCAAGATTTGGAAACCACAGTACAAGTGATTACTATTAAAATTACAGATATATAGCAAAATCAATGCAAGTCATTGCACAGAACAACAGAAAGACATCACTTCAGGTATAATACTGTGGATTTTAATATATACTGTTTTATGTGTTCACCATTGACATCTGTGTGTGGATATATGTCAGAAACATGCTTGTAAGGGTTAAGAGAACATATTTTTCGGCAATATTTTTAAGGAAAATTTGGTTCCATTATAAGGCCGCTTCCTCTGGATATTTTCAGCTTTATTTTCCCAAAATTAGTGCAATTTTCTTTTTTTTCTCCCCCTGAATCATTTTTGTATGTGATACTTTCTTGGTAGTCCCCAGGCACAGGCCCCTATCATACTTTTATAAATTCCATGGGGGAGATTCTCCCTGCTCAAAATTAAACATAAATAAAATGTTCTTATATATCTTAGAAAAAAATAACACCTGAAAATGGCATATGAAATCACTAAATCTGAGAATACAGGAAAATTCACTGGTTGGAAATGCTAAATATAACCCTTTCACCCCTTAAGTCAAATTTAAACCTTACCAATTCAAAAACTGGGCATGTCTAGTTTAGATTTGTAGGGGTGAATGAGTTAAGGGTCCGAAATCGGGAGTCTCCCTCCAAAATAGGGAGAGTTGGAAAGTATGCAGCCTGTAAAAAAGAGGTAGAAAAATCAATGTTGATTAAAACAACATCAGACATTCATTACCTGTATATACTGTAAATCTTAATTTTTATCTCGCCAGTAAATCTTACCCTTAGGGTAAAGATTATATAAATTATATAAACAATTCTGCTTGTTTTCCTCAGGGTAAAATCCTGGTCGGGACAAAGGATAATACGGTGATTGAGGTGGCCGAGAAGAGTGGGACCAACTCCGTGTTAGTTGGGGGCCACGCAGAGGGAGAAGTCTGGGGCCTCGATGTTCATCCCACAAGTCCCTGTTTTGTTACTGCCAGCTTCGACGGCACTGTCAGGTACTGGGACCTCTCTAAAAAGGTGAGTGCTGTCAATATTCAATATTTGTCAACTTTTTGTAGTCTTAATTGTACATGCAAACGCCAATACAAACTAAGCCAGTATCATGAAATAACCAACTGAAAGTAAGAATGCTTTGCCCTTCAGTTTGTAACTTCACTGTCACTGCATATGAGAAGGATTAACCTTGTATAATCCCCTGTAAAACAGAGCTCTTCTCCTTATGGTCAAGACAGGTACATATTGATTGCACTATTGTACTTGACGGTATTTTCCCTTTCCTGATTTGACAAGATGGCTGCTGTAGGTCGTTTGGGGTAGTAACAATTAGAATTCGTTCTTATTTCTTCCTGTTTTAATTTTTTTTCTCAAAAACCATCTGGCAGAATTGAACAAAAATTTACATTTGTGCTTGTAAATGTAAGGCAATGCACTACTTGTTTCACAAGAACTCATCATGGAGCCTTTTGATTGGTAAAAAAATAAATATTGTAATAGTTTGATCAGAATTAGAATATAAATAATTATAATGGCACTGCAAACTCCACCACAATTTCCATTTTTGAATCAGACAGGATGGCCACCATAGCCTACCACTGATTGGTCCAAATTAAAATATTTCCCATCTTTGATAAAACAATGTATAGGTGTATAGTGGCACTGTGCTCTCTTTGTGGTGAATTCACAATGGAGACATTGCAGAAGTCTCCCAGTCTATGATTGCAATGTCTCCATTGTAAATTAGTGTCAGTTTTTCTTCAACATAAACATGTTACGCTATGAATATTCATTATCCTAACCTTCTGTGTCAGGCTACTGTGGCCAGACTGGACATCGGAGCTGCCCGGTCCACAGCGTTCAGTGTGGATGGTGAAATGTTAGCTGTAGGTCTGAAAAATGGAGAGTTTGTTGTGCTGACAACGAATGGACTGAAGCTGTGGGGGAAACGAAGGGACCGAGCAGGAGCCATCAATGACGTCAGGTACATGAATTGTTCCTGAATTTCAATAACATGATCCTCTTATAAAATATTTAGGGAAGTATGTAGCTGTTACTTTGTTCAATCATCTTCTTCATGCCAGTCTGTGATGGGATGTACTATGGAAAGGCATTGTCTGGCGGCTTAGCTAGCTGGGTATCATCAACCATTTATTGACCCTAACGACCTCTCCTGTGTTGATGGGCTGTTAAGGTTGTAAAAGTCATAGAGGCTGGGTATTAGCAAAAGTTTGTCTACAGCAATATGGCAGG